ATTGACCAAATTTCAGCTCGTCAATTTAATATGAAGTCAATTTAATTCTGCTTAACCAAAACTCAGTGCCTATTGTTCCAAAACATGCAATCATCTCACAGTATATCGCAATTGCTGGATAAGTGGCTTAGTGTTATTGATAAGAGCCTACTGTGATGAGAACAAAGAGGAGTGCCAGAATCCCTAATGAAAAAATAAAAAAGCTATTTTGCACACAACTTCCAAAAATGTTTCCAACACATGAGAGCAGAGGCTGCTTTGTGGATGGGCTGTCATAAACAAATCCTTAGGAATGGATGAGAAATGAGCATATTATTCTTCATTTACTATCACTTTATTTATGATTTCCATTTAATGCAGATCCACAAAGCCATGCCAAAGAGATACTAAAGGCCTGATTGTGCTATCCTAATTCAAGCAAAACCCATGCTCAAAGTCCTTTTTGAAGCCTTTCTGCTTCTGTCAACTTGTGTAATTTTTATTGCAAGCCTTGCAGTACTTGATGTTTTGCTTAACATTCTGGCTCCTGGAGTTATAGAATGTATGAATCTCCTTTATTTTCAATTTTAAAAGAAGTTCATTGCCTTCATGATTGAATAGAAAAACTTGCAAATGAGTATTTTTAAGAGAGTCAAAAATAAAAGTGAAAAAGAAGAAAGAACTTAACTATATTGTTTTGCTGAATAACTTCATAAAGACGATGATATTATTAGATAAAATTCATTATTTCTGAGCCCTAGTGTGTACTTACAGCTTGCCAAAAAGTAGCAACACATAGCTGGTTATTTCCACTTAACAGAAGTCCTGTTCTTGTGACACTTAAGGTCGGGGAATTCTTTTCATGTAAATAAATTTATGCAAGATTTTGAGCCTTCTCCCATCCAGCATGGGGAGAGCGAAAGACCTCTCCTGAAATCTTCAGCTCCTGACCCTGTGGCCATGGGTTCCCTCAAGCGTCAGTGGCAAAGTGAGGAGCAAAGTAGAGAAAACCTCTCATCAGCCACCCAACTGGTGCTGATTTTGCACCAACTGCCTAACTGAGACAAACTGGTCAGCCCAGTCCTTTAATTGCCTGCTCCAGAGTCTACCATAAGCTACAGGACAGCTGTAGCTCAGGGGTTGCTATCTGAAGATCCTGGATCAAAACCCAGACAGCAAACGATCCCTCCCATGATGGCTGCAAATCCACTCATAGCTTGTTAACACTGAAACAGCACGATGCTGTATTTCCCCTGTCCCTCCTGCCTCCTATTTTCCATTCCCGCCCCCCTCCTTACCTGATACCTTTTGTTTACTCTGTAAGCGAATTGAGGCAGGGGCTGTTACTTTCTATGTGTTTATCCCGTGCCTTGCATGAAGGCTGACAGCTCTAGATGCCATTATAATCAAAGAGGGTGAGGGGTGGGATTTTTGAGGTGCTAAGGAAAATGAGGCATTCACCTACCATTGACATTCAATAAGCCTTGAGTACCTTTCTCTCTCCTTTGAAAAATCTACATTTACAAGTATAATAATTAAGATGTCTGTCATCATCAAAAAGTCCATTGTTAAAATATGACACGGCCTCCAAGTAGGGAAAACCTTAATTTAAAGCAGAGTCACTAACAAAAAGCATTTTTTTTCAGAAGCACTACAACCTTATTTGTATAAAATCATGCACAACAGTATTCAACACACTTTCTGGAAGTACCATGTCTATCTTGTATTGCATTAGTTAGGTATCTGCTAAGAAGCACACACACCATCAATTTAAGCACTAACATTCTAGTTTTTTTAAAAGAACATTTCCTATAAATAGAGATTTAAATGATCTTCTTTAAGTATTGTAATTTTTAATTTAATTCAATACCTCTGCAAACAGAGCAAACCATCTCTGACTGATTAGATCATTTGCTTCTATTCTATTTCAGACATGCACTGGTTTGCATGTAAGGTTTTTTCATTAGCAATTGTTGTTCAGCTGCATATTTTCTTCAGTAAACTAATTAATGCCAGAAAGGTAACTTTTCTTGTCAATGTAGCTGACACTCATACAGAGGTTATATATAAATAAAAATCAGAAAAAAAATTTAAAGGACAAAAATGTAAGGGAATGCAGAAATTAAAAGTAGATTTTCCATGAGGTGGTGAATGCCTTCATCTCCCAGTCACATCAAGATAGAAATTGGCTACTCAGCACCCTGCAGGACAGACCCTTGAGAGTCCTATGGGCCACTATCCCAGAAATTACTACATGCAGGTAGAATAAGAAAATGGGTCTTAATTAAGTGAAAAAATTATGTCCTTAATTTGATTCAGTAGCTTTCTAGATCTGAGTTTGTTGCATGAATGACATAGCATCCTGCAGGCTTTGACTTTGGGATGTTATCAATCTCTTCAAATTAAATCATCGGCCTGATTGCAAACTATGTTCTAGTGCAGTCCCTGACTAATTAAGTGTATAGTCATAATGACAACACAGATCCTACCAGGCAGGATGTTTAGACATAGCTGAAGTAAACCACGGTGTATGATGGACTCAGGATGTCATGGGCTATCGTGACACTAACACTTAGTGCTTTCCTCAGAAATGTTGATCTCTGGCTGCATCAAGGGTTCACAGCAGTCAAGGACATGCCAGCTAATAGGTGAGAGAGGTTAATCAAAATCTTCACCCTCAAAATGTGCTTTGGTGAGATGCTGTGCACCTCTGGATGCTCCTGGAGCCTGCCTGAGGCTTGTGGGACATTAAACAGCAGATGCTCATGGTATTTTGGTGTAGCCACTTCAGCCAAGAGGGGATGAGAGAACAACACAGTTGCATTGAGGTCACTCAGCTCCAGTGGCAGTGAGGTGCTCTAGAAAAATTGTGTAAATGCTCTGACAAAGTCAGTAAGGGCCACAGCTAACTTCAGGCACCAGTCTAGAAATGGAAGATCTTTGGAAGATCATTTTGCCTAATCATCTGTTTCCCCTCTTCAGAAAAAATTACACCTCACCATAGTTGTTAGCTTAAGAAACTTTTTCCTCCCCCAAATATGTCATTGAAAAACCTCAAAAATAAAAATCTCAGTGGCTCAACAATCAAACAAGTGAGTAAATCATACAGGAGAATATTCCTGGAAACTGAAGCTAACTGGCAAAGCAACTAAACCAGTAAACTCCCATTGCCCACAGATTATGCAAGGTGCCAACTGGGAATGCTTCCTGTGATGTTCTTCCACCCAAATTATGCTTGGGAGTTGCCTGAAAGAGTGGCAGAGGCCAAAATCATACTGAGAACTGTTATTACAGTTTAACATAGTTAAATTTTAATTTAGTAGCATTAATGTAGACCAAATTCTTCCACTCTATGAGGATGTCCTGCACTTTTAGATGCAGATCTTCCTCTGTGTTCATTTGATGAGGTCTTACATTTCATTGGTGCAAAATACTGAGATGAGAGTAGTTGGATAATAGAGTGAGAGATTCTATTTTAAAAAGAATTAATAACAAAGAAAATTTATTGCCTATTTAAGAAAAACGCTGTAGCTTACTACAGTAATAATTAAAAAAACCTTCATCCTATGATCTGCAATGGATGTCAGTTTTTGGAGGCAGCTGGTTCCAGGTATCTCTAGTTGGGTTTTAGCTGCCCTTGCCTCCTTTTTCCTTTGGATTCTCATGCTTTTTACATAAACAAGGAAAATGCATAAAACCTGTGTTTGTTTGAAAATACAAGTAAAAATGTGGGGTTTTTTAAAGCTCATTTTAGCTTAAATATTTTGCTTCTGTTTATAAAATAACAATTTGTACTTTTTCATCACTGTAGAATTTAGTCTGTAGTGTAAAGTGTACCAAAATACTACAAACAGAAAAGCTGAAGTGTCGAGTTTACTGCTCCAGTCAAATTCCAACTGTGAGTTGAGGTTTTACACAGAAAACAGGCAACTTGACCTCAGCCTCCCAGTCTAATCAGCATGTTCTCCTCCACTCTTGAGAAAAATTAACCTCATTCATCACGTCATGCTCCTGTTCCTCCCTACGGCTCATCACACTTTCTTTGCTCCTTGTCCTACTTCTAGATCTCAGAGCATAGCTGTCATGGTTTGATAGCACAGTGGGTGCACAAGCAACCATGGGAACCAAGTGAACATAGGAAAAGCTTTTAGCAGCATACCTTTCTTTTTGAATTTTGAGGGGTTTTTTAGGCAGAATAAAATAATCTTTTCTGCCACAGAAATGTCCTGGTAAGTTTTAGGTTTTTAAAGCACAAAGTTTGAATGCTATTACTCAGGGTATCCACAAGATGAAGGTACTTAATTCACTCACCTGTCTTCCCCCCTCCTTTTCCCAATAATTAAATTCCCCCACATATTATACAGAGATCTTGACAAAACCTGAAAGCTACTAAATATATCATTACATTCATGAGATGCAAATAACCTCAACAAACAGTAAACAACAGCCTCTGACTTGGAGCCTGAGTCTCCCAGGGTGCAGAATGCTCTTAATTCCCCTCTGCTGCCACTGCCTCTTATGACGAATTCTGCCTGAGAAGACGACCATTCATGGAACTAGAGAAACTGCTAATTCCTTCTTTTCCAGTCTCTTCCAACTTTTTGTCTTCACACCTCCTTCCTGTTCCCTCTTCAAACTGGGTCTCTTTTCTCTATCTCATGGATAAATCACCATTTCATTATATCTAATTCCAGACATATTGCATTTCTACACTGAAAATAATCGAAATAAGTCATCAAAGGAAGAAAGAGTATTTTAAAATGTGCACTACTATGAAGATGGATGACAGGGCAGTAAAACTCAGCAGCAGAAAAATCTGAACTGGTAAGTTTGCCTAATTCAGAAGAAAAGCAAAGTCCTTACTGAACATTGCAACCATGAGCCATGTATGGTACACAACTTTTATCTGTAATTCATGCATTTCTTCAACAGGAACAATTTCATCTGTAGAGTGAATGTGATACAGAAAGCCACACTCAAAGATGGAAATACAGTCACAAAAGGCAAGGAAGCCAACTAACCTGACCAATAGGTTCCTTTGTCGGGGCCTTTCCTCTTCTAGCGGTGCTTGTAGCCAAAGTGGTGGTTGTTTCCATGACTGACGTGGACATCTCAGACTGCATCGCTGTGGCTGTGGACTCAGTTGTCATAGAGGAAGGCACTTCACCAACAAGTCTCACATTTCCTTCTATCACGATGTTGGCATCATTTTCTGCTGCCATATTCAGAACTTTCAAGCCATTGTAGTAAAGACCAGAGAGCTGGCCTTGGAAAGGATGCCCACGTTCCTTGCCTCCAATTTTTATGGTTGCTTGGCTATTGAAGATTGTGAGCTGACGCCCTGTGAAAATAATATTATATACATGCAAAAATGTTGACTGTGAACACTATATTCTACATGAGTGATAACAGATTTTCATGGGGTGAATAATGAGAGCAATAAACTATAAGAAAAGGAATTGACTCATAATTCATTGCTTTTTAATGAGGTGTCCATGAAATGTATAAATTTTGAGAACATTTGCATTTTTCTTAATTTATGACATTTTGGGATTATTTAGGTTTTTTTGCTAAAAGGCCAATCAAATATATTTGCAAACATGTTTAGTACTAAAAATGATACCTCTCTTCATTTTACCCGAAAACAGTGTTAAGCTTTTTGGTGTGTGTCAAGAATGCCAGGTTTCTAATTCCTTAAGAGAACTTTTTCTTCAAGTCTGCCATCATTTCAAAGTTATTTCCACGCAACACAGCATAGGGCCTAGAGCACATGTAAATTTATGTATGTATAGACATATACAAATATGTCTATACATACAGAAAGAGTTTATATATATGCCAACACATCACTTGGTCAAGTGATTTTTAAAGAATATGTTATGCAATAATCCGTCATATCTCTATATAAGTGAATAAAATATTTACATTTTTAATTAACTGTTTCCTTTTTGTATTTAAATGTTTATTTTCCTTCAACATGCACACTGAAAAGAAACACATGGTTCATAATAAGTATCTCAGAGGCAGATTCAAAAATAGATGTCTGATTGGCTTTCAGCAACGCTATCAATTAAAATCAAAGATTTTAGATGTAAAAGCGGCTTCAGGAATGATACACATACCGATGGAGAAATCATGGCACATTTCCATTAAACAGAGAAATCCTCAGCAACAGTACCACTCTTAGTAAATAGAATAATCACTTTAGCAGATTGGTTTCTGCTCACAAAAAGCATGCACACAACTTTAAGTTCTGTTTTAATTAGTGTTTGTTCCAAAATCCCCTTAGAAGGTTGCAAACGTTAAAGGGACTTCATTTTGATTGGCAATTCATATTGCCCACTATTTAAGATACCTACAGTTTAAACAAATTTTTTTTCAGGACCATAATGAAGATATCATAACTACATATATTTTTAGTTAATAATTTAGATGCTGGAACATGTAATATAATCTATGAATGATTTATAATTTTTGGTTAATGTTTGCTATAAGTACCTTCATAGATTGAGTTAGTGGATTATATTTAACAGTCCCTTTAACCTTAAGTTAACAGGGTAAGATTATTAAACAGCTGGTACTTCTAGAAATGTATAGAAATTATTATACAAGGTATGCAAATATTACTCTATATTTTACTTTTTTTAAATTTGTTTTTAATTTAGTTTTACTGAAATTTATTTTTTATGTTTATTAGTGTTACAATGAAGTACTACTTGGTTATGTTCAAATTATTTTTTTATTTGAAGTTTTAATCAATGTTTTTTACCTTTGTCGAGTAGCCATTCATCAACTACTCGACCAAGTCGATATGGAATTCGCTGTCTAGCAATCGCCAGGCGCTCGTTATCATTGTTTCCTTTAAAGTTTAAAGAGACATTTCATTGGTTAAAATCTGTAAGGTCAAAGGTTAAAAGTTAATACTTAAAGCTTGAGCTATACAGTTGCCACATGATTTTTTGAAATTTGGAATTTTAAAAAGTGCTACCTAGAACAGTTCATGGTTCAGACTTTTCATTCATTCATTTATTTTATTTTAGCAAACAAAATTATTCCTATGTTAATTGAAAATTAGAAATCTGCATTTGAGCTAGGTTATTAAACTTATGTTATAGACAGACCCAAAAAACAAATTTAAACATCATCGAATGGCTTTACAAAAAATGATCATTGACTTCAGGGTTTTGTCTTTTTTGATGTTTCTTATTAACTAGTTAAACATGTTCAGGTGAAACAGGTTTAAGTTTTCAAAAGACATCCAACCTCTCACTGCAGGTTAGTCATTTAAAGAAGAAGAAGAACACAACTCTTAATCACCATCTAAGGCACACTTACTTCTGCTGTCTAGAAATAGACCTGCTGTAACTTTTTTCGTCATCAGAAAAAAATACATTCTTATTCACTTCATTTAAATAAATTCCAGAGATTCAAATATACGATACAAAACAGACCAAGGTATTCATTGTACATTCTCATAGGACATGTTGACAATGTCTTGAAGGGACACCAAGGCTTTGACAAAAGTGACTTGCTGAAAGGTAGCCTGGTTCTGAAACATAGAAGCACTTCAAAATTTAGCAAGTGGTCATCTGTAATGGGGTTTCATAAATTAAGAACTAATCAGAACTTGGCAATGCAAAACACAAACCTGTCATATTTGCAAACTGTATCTATTCTCAGTCTGTGCAAAGATCTTTGACTTCTTTAAGTAAGAGAAAATAAATGAGATAAAATAAGGCTGGTAGAATCAGAAAAATATCAGACAACCAGAAGTAATTAGCAATTCACTTTAAAAAATTATTTCTAATTATAACTTTTTATGTCTGAATTATATAGGTGTGAGCCCTCAGAAAACTGTATCTTCTACTTAAAACTTTTCTTAGGAGTTTGGTAAACCTAATATTTCCTTCAATGTACAGGTTTGCGGTGGCAGTAGTATTTTAGACCAACAATACATTTTTTCTTCCATTGTATTCGTTCATATCAGTAAAGAACATGAGAGATAAAAAGAGCCAGATGAGTTAAAAGTGGTCATTCCTAATTCAGGTCCGAATCCAAAGTCTATCTTGCTAGCTCATATGTGCATACTGTCTTTGACTTCAAAACCCACCAATGAACCAAGTCCTGTATCAGAAATGGAAATGTAAGTACAGAATGCAGTAGCCCACGTAGTGCTCAGAAATACATTTTCTTGAGCTAGAAGGAACCTACAGCTAATTACTGAACCAAAGTATTATCCAAATTCAGAAAAACAATGTTCTAGTTTGCCAGACAATTATCCTGGCTATCAGCATCACAAGTCTAACAGGCTTCCAGGGAACAATCAGTACCATAGACCCCAGAAACAGCAAAAGTAACAGCTTCTGTGCCAAAAAAACACGGTGGTTTTATGCAGATACTTATTCCGCAGTGACATGAACTGCTACTTTCCACGTGTCATGTCTCTCTCATTTGGTTTAGCATGGACATAGATCACTATGCCAAAAACTGATTTATTTTATTTTGAGAAGATGACCTTTTCCTATTTACCTTTCAATACAGAATCATAGAATGGTTTGGTTTGGAAGGGACATTTGAAGATCATCTAGTACACCTCCCCTGTCATGGGCAGGGACATCTTTCACTAGACCAGGTTGCTCAAAGCCCATTCAGTCTGACCTTGAACACTTCCAATGATGACGCATCCACAGCTTCTCTGGGAACCACAGAAGCTGGTTCCACAACCTCTCTGGGCAAATGAGCTATATGAACTTCTATGTGCACATCAATATTAAGAAGTCCATGGGTGTATACATAAAAGCATATAATTTTTTTCACATGTACATTTTGTTCTATTCTCAACTTTTAGAAATATTCTCTGTAAAACAATATTTTGCCAAAGCTTTCCTTTCTCTGCCTTTCCAAGATACTGAAAATTTAGAATAAAAGGCTTCAGAACACAACTCTTGTGATGTTGTGAGAATACAGAATGTCTTAACTTTTTATTGCTGTTATGAATTTCTTTAAAATTACTGCTCTTCATCATGTTCTCCTTTACTTACAACATCCATCCTGTGACTAAATGAAAATCTGAGAAGTACCGGAAAAACATGAAAAATGTAATGTGATCAACATGGGAATAAAGATAAAAAGTGTGATCCTTCATGTTTCTGTTCTCGATTTGTATCTTCTATTAAATACCTATCTATTTATCTATCTATATACACAAACCAGTGAGTTATTCCCTAGCAGCCAGTAACTTTTAACACATTTAGCTTTTCAATAAGATGTTTCTACAATTTTTATTGAGGCATTATCAGTTGTTTCATGAATAAGTGAGAAAGCATCCTATTTTCAAAAGGTTTCCTTAACTTAAAACAAATGAATAATGAGGTTTTGTTGCTGCTATGTGTGGTTTTTTGCTTATCTGTATTTAAAATAAAAAGGGTGGGTGGCATTCTTCGATGTCATTTACAAGAAAAGGGTAAATTGTTCAGAAGAAGTTTGCGGGCATAAGGAATCTATTAGTGCAAAATGGAAAGAAGTCTCATGGATGAAGATCATCTTTCACTCATCAGATTCACCCACTGTTCACTGTTGTTCACTGGATGACTTTCATGAAGAAATGCTCCGTAGACCTCAGAAGAACCATAGAATCATGTCAAAATGACACGTTGTTCACAACTGCATATGCTGGGAAGACATTAAACTCTATGTTGCTTATTCAAGCAGAGGGTGTAAATTAGGTGTATTTGGTAGAAGGACCCTCTGCAGTCACCAGTCTGGATCCCTAATGCTATGGCATCTCTCTACTGTAATTCCATTATTGACACATTTATCCTAGACAAGGTTTATTGCTGCCTCTGGTTTCACTACTTGGCAGCTGCTCCAAGACATCTCTATGGTGACAGTGGAAACTCCTCTATGAATTAGCAACATAAATTTAGTCTTGGCCAGCCTATACATTTCCTTGAATTATTTCATTTAAAAGTCATGCAGTATGTGTGTTTTTTGAGAATATTGCACCCTATTATAATGTGATTCTATCTATAAATTATGTTTTATACTAACCGCAGCAATCCTGCACCACTGGGAGCAAAATACAAATGAAAAGCAAGGAAATAACCATTGGATTTGTAAAGGTCACACAGAAAAATAAATGCTGATTACATTAGCCCATCCCTCATCAGAGGAAAAGTTCATTGTCAAATGCATCTCAATTTGAGACTATTACATTAGCTTAAATTCTTCTAGAATATAATGTAAATTGAAGGGCTAGGGGGAAATGGTGTGGAACTTATCCAGATTTAGTTACACATAGGTTTAGTAATGATGGAACTAGTAGACACATAGGTAACTTAACAACTACATTTGGGAAAAAAAAAGATATGTACCACTGAAAATAATGGAAACTACATTAAAAGCAACAAAAGTCCTATTATTGCATCATGAAGTACACACATCTTTTCAGTAGCTGCTTCTTCCCATTTGAGTCATACACTCAGCTACAACAAATCTGGATAGCCCCACCAAATTCAGTAAAACTATGTTCATTTACTTCATTTGGTAATATTATCACCAGTAGGGAAAACATAAATACCACATATGGCTTTTCTCAGTAGTATTCAGTGCACATTCTTCATATTTCCTTTATTTATGCTTTGTTTTACCAATATGGTGAGCCACAAAGAACTTATACAGTAAAAACACTTCCAAAAAGGTTAATAAATATTTTTGTACTCTAAGTAAGCCTCTGGCTTTGAGATTTTATTTCTGTTACCTGTCTGAAAGATTAAGTGCTCTGGCAGGCTTGCTTTTCAACCATAATTCATAAAAAAGAACTGATATACCTGAACTTTAGTTGTAGACAGCTATGTAACAATCCAGCATAACACCTCCTGGTTATATGACCGAGATTTCTTTGATTAAAAAAGCTAGGTAGAAATGATTCATTCAGGATGTGCATCATGACATTGTGTAACCTGATTGAATTCCAGATGGCTTCATTCTTCTGCCAGATAGATAATATTCTGTGGCAACACAGTGTTAATTCTGTACAGGCATAAAGGTTTCAAGGAAATAACAATAATTCCAAAGAATCAAGGTAAGCAGAGAGGAGCAGCAAGGGTCAAATATTTGAGACAGAGCTAAATCTTGTGGCAAGATTGAGAAGAAGCAGTCCAAAAAAACTTTAATCATACCTTTAAATCTATAGGTCAGCTGGGACAAACCAACTATGTGAACTTCACTAATATGTATTTTATCCCTCCTGATTTATTATATTGTCAGTGCTGGAGTGTAATTCTATTTTGTTCTCTGAAATAAAGGTGTCAGTTATTGATGTAAAATAACAGCATCCTTGAAAAAGAGTAAGTAGGAAGGTTGAAAATCGAGACTCTGTGAAGAACTTGAGAATATTTTCTTTGAAACAAACCCTTTAACAGAATACAAATTCACCTTGTTAGTCTCAGTGCTCTGCTAGGGAAATAAATAGTGATGAAACCAAGGTCTATTTCCATTTATGAACAACCCTCCCCTGCTCTCCCTAGCTTTGCTCATCATGATCTTGACACTGCTATTTCTGAATCATGACTCCCCTGACATCTGCAGAGACTCATATCATTCCTGCAGATGCAGTCAGGGATGAAACCTGACTGAAGTGTCAGCGGTATAGGAGGAAACCACAGCAGCTCTGTGGTGCAGGGGCAGACAGTCCACAGTTTCTGACACGTCCAGGCTAAGAAATGAAAGCAATCTCAGTAATGGCCCATACTAAAGTTCTGTTGAATCATCTATTAATGTACACACAGTATATATTATTATTATATATATTTATGTTGGAATAAAGTGGAGATGCAAAGACTGTGGTCTTAAATTTGG